AGTGTCTTTTCCTAGGCATGCTCTGAATGTGGTGTTAATGACAAAGAGAATCTCAAAAAAATTTCTGTATTAGCAAAGATGGGACTAAGCTCTAAGAAATGGAAAAGACTGAAATTCTAAAACATTAACGGTCTAAGAGCCACGTCACAATGCTGTCGTCGTATGTTCCATCTGTAATGTGGCTGGCTGAAGTTGCTGACAGCAAATCACACTGGACTGGAACAGGCCTACCCAAGCAAAACAGCCAGGCAAGTGGAAGCCACAAACGAGGTACTGAGGCATCCTTGAGGGAAAGGCAAGCACACGTATGCCACGCGTGTGGAGGGGTTTTATGGTAACAGACAGCGCAAGGCAGGACACTGAGCAGACCGATCAACTTTAAAAGCAGTAACTGAACAGTTAGCCTCAGTTTCTTAATTTACATGACTAAGAGGATGCTTCAGTATACAAGGTGCAAATCAAGTTAATTTTGCCTTTATCCTCCATGTTTGCAGACTGTAAGCATAGTATTTCCTGTACTGTTTCATTAACTCACAGTTTGGTTTTCTTCTTAGCATAATTTCAGTGTTTAATATTCCATCTTTTAAAGTACAAATGGAGGAATATAAAAATGCCTTTAGTTTCAGGTAGTGGCCATACATAGGTGCCTGAGTTTAGTAACAGTTACACAGCACTAGAGAGCCCAAAAGAGCTTCATAGAGGAAAAACCACATCACTTAGATTATCAAAACACCGTACCTTCCCTCCTCTTTCTACAGTCTCATGAACTTTCTTCAAGAAGTCTCTTTCTCTGCAGCGTTTGGAATCTCTGATAGTTGTGGCATAGGTGGATTCACTTATTAATAAATCTGGACGACACTTATCAATCCAGGCAGCACTAAAACAAAAGGAATTTTAAAAAGAACCCATCCACTTAAGAGATGGTATCTAGCATTTCTGATCTGCAGCTCCCCAAGACGGGTGGAGAACATCACTGTCTCCATTTGCAGATAGGAAAGCAGGTACACAGATGTGCATCAGCTTGCTCAAAGTCCCCCAAGAGTTCTGTGGCAGCAACGGGACCCCCCTCTGTGCCAGCCATGCTTTCTTTAAATTAATCCAGCTCCAAATAGAGACTACAAATTTTGAAAAGCAATTTTTCACCAGTCTATTACTTGTTTTAAATGCATTAACATATTATTCTAAATAGCAAAAGTATTAAAAATCTCTCATATGTGCCAGTAAAAATAAACAGAACGTTAAAACTTGTGATTGGCACTTAGAAAGCAAATACATTGAGAAGATACCATGACAATAAAACACTTCAAATGAAATCCAATTATTACGTAGCCTTAAAAACAGATTAATAGGAGTATACAGAAGATGATTCCATTAAGGTCTATCTGGAAGAATCCATGTAAATCTGTTCATTCTCATAATTCAAGACTGCCTTCATCTTTCCAGAAAAGCCCTTGTTAAACATTCCAGTCTTGGAACAAAGAATCAGTGCTGATTAGCCCCTAGTATTAACAGAAGCTGTGAGAAAATACTCCTGTCAGAAATATATAACATTCATAGAAACTCAGCTTCCTACTTACCCTAAATGTCTGTCTGGTGTCATGTTATAATCACCCTAATGGAAGAAGAGAAATCTGTTAATATTCTCAAAATAACAGGACAGGCCATTAAAATCTATAAATATTGTTGTCTGTACTTACAGTGTACACAACTGACTCGCATCCGACCTTAATCTGGAACATGGCTGCTCCCAGCACGTGGCCTGCATAGTACGCCTTGATCTCCAGCTCCTCGTCCACCTGCACGAACAGGCAAACACCGCATTAGCACACACCTTCTCAAAAACTAAATCTGCTCTGCCTTCCACAACAGTCCAGTTGCTCTGATCCAAGAGCACGCAGAAATGATCATTTACCTGAACTGTCTGGTGAAGATGCACAGCCACCACTTTTTTCATACAGTCTTTAATCATTTGGGAAGTGAAGAAGTTAGTTTCCCCTTTCTTATCTACAGTTATTTTCCTATAGTCCTCCAGGAGGATGGGACAGATGGCCTTGGTAGGATGTGTCATGTAAATGGGCCCATCATAACCGACCATTTCACTGAAATACGGTAAAGCTCCACAGTGGTCCAAATGGAAGTGGCTGCAAAAAGACACAAAGGATAAAGAAGATGCTGCACAAGAATTTAAACTTGCCTGGTTCTCATATCTTGCTTCAGATTTCTAAAGAACTGCATGACAGAGGAAACTAGCCAAAATATGAATGATGAATTTACAACACGTTTGGGTTGCTAGGGTCAGCATGCAAAGCTTTCCCAGTGTCCCACCTGAGCTCTGACAAGGCAGGAAGCTTCCTCACCTGATGATCACACAGTCTAGAAAGTCAGTCAGCCTTCCATTCTGAGTGATGTAAGAGAAGTCAGGAAAGCGCCTCTGCAAAGACATGTAAAAACAGGCAATCCATTACAAAACAAAGCCACTAATGCAACGAAACAGTGGTGTGTATGACCCAAAGCACTGAAAACGTGCTGTAACCCACCTCAAGGCAAAACTGCAATAAGGCAGCAGACAGCACTACTGTCAGCAGCAAGAACTGCAGGCAACACCATCAGCATTTATGTGCAGAAAGAGTCAAAGAGAAAATGGATGGGAGGGCTGCCAGAGAGCAGACCAGAAAACTGACCTTGTAAATAAATAAATTACAGCCAAGTTTATCTTCAAAGTAAAACAGGTGACCAATGCATTTTAGCTTATCCCCACGCATTAAAACCCTTTCTGTAACGGCACATTTCCTCTGTGTCACGCTTTAACTCTATTTTACAGAACATTTTTGCCATTATTCCTTTCCTACTAGCATCAGGTGACCAAACATCAGGAGTATTTCCTAGCTTTCTCTCTAAAGCATCAGAGATGCGTGGTGTGGATCCCCCAAGCAATTAACTGCCCCAAATCAGCATCATGTCAAGAGCAGTCTAGCTAATGACAGGATTAATATTTTAAAGCATAGAAGACGCCTGCCCACATGAAATACAGAAAGACCAAAACCAGCAGGAATGGAGCATTCGCCAGCTTGCTTAGTAGTTTTTTGGAGTCCACAACCCAGAGAAAGAATGGCTGGATGGTGGCACTTCATAGACCAGGAATAATTGAAGAGACATGTTTCTTGCACAGGAAGGTAAGATTCTGAAGGGGCAATAGTAGTTTGTTCTCTGCCATAATCCAACTCCAGCAGTGGCCGATATATGCACCCAATGATGCACACCTAGCTAGTATCACCCCTACATCGTGTAAGATAAGTCACACAATGTTCAAATACAAGGAGCCCTGCTGGGAAAGGCCAGGCATCTCTACACAACGCTCAGGCTTCTCCACCATACTCACGTCATCGTTGTAGCCCATGTGCATCCCACAGTCGAGCATGACATTTTTCCCAGCAATAGACACGAGGATACAGCTGCGCCCCACATCCTGGCCAGCTCCTGGACCCAAGCAAAAAGACAGACAAAAAAGACATGTTGGGAATATTTACAAGCACTTCAAAAGAGCATTTAAAGGTCTGTATAAACTTCTCAGCCCTTTTCTTATGCAGGAAAAGACCACATCCTTTCTTCCAAGCAAGAAGATCTGTCAGAGGGTAAGCAAATGTGAACTGACTTACCCCCTCCTCCTCTGAGCTTAGGAGAGGGCTTTCCAGCTGCAGCTGCAGAACTGCTGTAAATACAGCACTGCATCCAAACCCATCGGCAGTTCTTCTGCCCACGGCTGTGCAATCACAGCTACACAATTTCAAGTAAAAGCAACATAATCTCTAATCTGGCAAGGATTAGCATGGAACTCAAAATTCCCAGGGCTCTAGACCCGCACAGGTACTCTGCCTCGCTGTGAAAGCGCAAACCTTTGTTAAGATCCAGTTAAGGCCACACCAAGCCTGAAAACTATCCATCAGGATAAAGCAGTTCTGCCTGGCACATCCTCTGCCCTCTCAGTGCATAAACGAATCTCAACAGTTTCTGTGCTATCAATAAAAAGAGAAAAATTTGCCACCTATACATCTTTAGCAGTGTCAAGTGAACTAATTATCTATAATGTACATACTACAACACCTTTACCAGTATGTATTAATGAATCCTGTAATCAAAACAGTTATCAGACTGTTCAAGTCAATTGCTTGAAAGACAAAAAGGAGGACAATGACATACTGACAAGAAGCAAGTCAGGACGCTGCACAACAGTAAATATCACAGCATGCCACCACGGCCGGTTTTTGCAGCATGGAAAGGCACATACTTCTCCAGCAGTATAACACATATTACTTTGCATTCCAAAGTTTTCAGCCTTTCTATTTCAGCACTGGTTTAGGTTGGACTTACCCAAGGGAGTGACTTTTATTTCAGGCATTTTAACAAAGTCTAAATCTCAAACTTCATGGCAAATTGTTCCAGAAACAGTCTAATGGGTGCCACAAAAAGATTTAGACTTTTTTACAGCTGCCATTTCAACTATTTTTCAGTAACATGCAGAAGACTTATGCACCGGCCCAGCTTCGTCCTAGAGGGAAGACAGCCAGAAAACACAAGTCAGATGAAACAGTAACTGGAAATTGAGGCCTTCCGAGAAGCACCAGCGCGGCGAAAGGAAGGCGGAGCAGCCAACGGCCATGACGCAGGGGGAAGGCCGGGGCAGGAACGGCTCCCTCTGCCCCGGGGGCGCGGCCCAGCCCTTCGGCCGCCACTATTTACCCCTTCACCCCGCACACAACGCCACATTTCCAAGCCGCAGCCTCGCCGCGCCCGGCGCTGAGGGGAGGCGATGCCGCCCGCCTTCCTGAGGGGAAATCCCGCCTGAGGCTCAGGCAGGGCCGGCCCCGCCGTTCCGAGAGCCCTCAGCGCCGCGACCCGCGCCCATCCCGCCCGCCGCCGGAGCGGAGCCCCGCGGCCCTCACCGCCTTCCTCCTCCTCCTCCGCCTCAGAGCCGCCGCGCATGCGCAGCCGCCCTCCCGGCAGAGCCCGCGGCTGAGGGGCGGGCGCGATGGCGGACGCCTTCAGCCTGCGGGAAGTCCTCGCTGCTTTCCAGACCTGCGTGACGGAACGGCGGGAGGTGCTGCTCGGGCCCTACCTCCGCGGCTGGCGGGGGCTTATCCGGTGAGTGTCCGCGCCGGCAGCCCCGGGGGTCCCGGCGCGGCTGCCGCCCGCTAACGCCACTGCATTTCCCACCCTCTCCAGGTTCCTCCACAGCCTGGGGGCCATCTTCTCCTTCATCTCTAAAGACGCGGTGGCCAAGGTACAGATCATGGAGAACTACTGCCGCGGCGAGCAGCGGGAGAATTACGTGTCGCTGCAGTCGATGGTGGAGTACGAGCTGGCCAGCGGGCTGGTGGCTGTGGGGCGGCACTCGGGGCGCCCCGATTCCGGCTGCCGCACCATCCTGCGCCTCCACAGAGCCCTGCGCTGGCTGCAGCTCTTCCTGGAGGGGCTGAGAACCGGCCGGGAGGATTCCCGCACCTCTGTCATCTGCACGGACTCCTACAACGCTTCCCTGGCTACCTACCACCCCTGGGTTGTCCGCAAGGCAGCCACGGTGGCCTTCTGCGCGCTGCCATCCCGAAACGCCTTCCTCGACACCATGAACGTGGGGACGCCCGAGGAAGCGGTCGCTATGCTGGGGGAGGCCTTACCCTATATCTGTGATGTATATGGCATCACCCAGGAGCTCTTCAGCCAGCATCAGCTGCTCGACCTTCCTTGACAGGAGGGGTGTCGGAGCCACGCCACCTCCTGACAGAAGCAGGATGAACTGGGTGAAAACCATGCGTTTCCACAGGTGCACAAGCGACTGGTTCTCCATCTGCGGTCGCTCTCCCTTTCCAGTATGGAGCTGACAGTTGGCAAAGCTATTCAGGATGCCTCACTTAAAGAAAAAAAATGTACCTTTTTTTTATATATACATATATCTGTGTGTGTGTGTGTAACCCCAGCTCTACAGTAAGAGAAAAAACACTCTTAGCTCCTCTTCTTCCTAGATTCACCTCTCCAGCTAGGCTGGGAGGGTGAGTTTCATTTCTTTTTTAAGCCAAACTCTGCAACCTGGGCAGCTTCCGTGTGTTTACACCAGACTTTAGGATCTCATGTGAGAGCACAACTTTCAGATGGGGCATCTGAACCCATTCACATTACATGTGAGCTCACTTTGCTGCTTCTGTTTACAAGCTGTTCCCTTGAATAGATCGGGGGGGTTGCCCTCTATTATGCTTTAACGTTGAAAATATAATCCCAAGTAACGTGTCTGAAAAAAAGCTCCTTTCCTTGTGGTCACGGACTCATTTGATCACTACTGCTACTTCTGTGTCCCCTAGAATTGGAAAGGAAATGGTGCTGTATGTCACTGCTGTAAGAGACCGTTCTTCCTTTGGACCCTGGCACATTAAAGCAGGACCCTTCGGTGTAGCTTCCCCTGCCCAGTAATCCATGCTTTGTGTGTCTTGGTATGTGGAACAGTTTTTAGTGTGTACTGCACAGTCCTATATATCCAGCTAAGGCTGCACCTTATCTGTTTTCCAGCCCTGTTTCTAAATTGTGATTTCATTATTTATATTTTTTTTTAATGAATGTGTCAAATGCCTACAAAAATGACTTCTCTCACTGGGGAGAAATCGGAACTTGCACTGTAAATCACTACTTTGTGAGGCTTATGGCTTCTCTTGCAAATTACTGTATCTATACACACCAAAGTATGTAAAAAGAAGTTTACTTAACTTTTTGAAAGCTGAAAAAGCACTATGTTGTATTTAGGGTGATGTGAATATTGGGGGGGAGGAGGGAGAACCCCACAGGCTATAACATGTTTTGATTGTATGTCAGAGAGGAAGCATTTTGGCCTAATGTAATACTACATGATTCAGGAAATCACTATTACCTCATGGAGATCAGACCGACTGGACATTAAATTATCTGAACAACATGCTTTTGAAGAGTATCCTTTCTAGGAATGCTTTCTGGTTGTGTGGTGTTGGAAGGAACATGACATACAGCGTTGCCTATTCATATATTGTTTTTCACTAGCAGAATCTCTTTCATTTACCTGGTGATCAGATGGGAACCAACTGTCAGGAGTAACCCAGATGGAGTTAGATGCTGTTTACTGAGCTCCTATTCTGATTACTCACATCCGTCAACTGTCTTTTGCCTGAAGATAGGAAATGGAATTTCCTTGAACATCCTAAATGGAGGTTTAGTTGCTATGCTGTGAAAACACAAATATCACTCCCTTTCTGCTAAGGCCACCTTAAAAGGATTACACAGTTCCGTAGGATAAATCCATATATCAAAATGGAGCAGTTCCATGTTACAATCTACAAAATACTGGATCTGCCTTGCAGTCTGATACAGATGGGCATTTCATCTGTGTAGTGTATTAAATGCAAAAAAATACATCAAATAACATTGTGTGTCAAGTGACAAAATGTTTTAGATCTCTTGAGGTTTAATGCAGAAGGGGTAGTATGACCACATGGGAAAATTACTTTTTATCCCTTCTCACATTCATTCTCAACTATTCCTTTTATGAGATAAACATTGATGTTGAAGATGAACTTGATTTTTGCCATTAAAGTATCAAACTTTCTCAGTAGGGGAAAAAGATTGTTGTAAGTCTAAAACCAATCATTTTGTGCAAAGTGCACCTTTCCATCAGTCTCCGTGCTCTCATTTAAACAAGGTATTGCCTAATGGTAATTTTATTTTCCTGGTATCCTGCTCTGTCTCCAAACGATGAGAACCTTTTTAACAGCTCCAGTTAGTTACCACTCCAGTGAATAAAACTAAGGTCCTGCACTTGGTGCTGGGCAAGTTCAGAGTCTGGCAGTTTTCACTAATGGGGCCAAATTCAGAAGAGTAAAACCTTCACCTACAGTGACTGGTGTACTTGAAAGCTGCAACAGCATCCAGATCCACTAGAGGGAGTTTGGATATTTTACACAAAACTCCATCACATAAACTGTCTCCTATGCTACAGTAAGCACACATGATTTCATGTCAAAGTATAAATGGGAGTAAATAATTGCCTGTGACTTCTACACCATTGAGACTTTCTTCCCCCCTCTGTACAGTTTAATTTGTATTTAGAACTTTTAAAAAGTAGTTAAAACTAACACTTAAATATTCCATTAAGGGGAAGGCATCCTTAAAAGTATGTCAGTATAAACATATTTATGTAACATGGCTATAGAAAACTACAACTGTTGCTTGCCTGAAGTACTCCTACACTTAGGTTTCTACAGTGTACCTGGCTTCTCTTCATACATGGAAAAATATTTTAGCTTTGCAGGAAAAGTGGGGTACCACTTTGGCAGTATAAGCAGTTCTTACAATACAATATAAATATATAAGCAGCCAGTAAAATGCAGTAAATTGAACCTTCCAATTCAGAGCTATCCTGTTTTCAAAAATTCAAACCTGACAGAAAAAATGCAAACCATGACACAACCTAAATTACTATGTTGTGGAACTTGTACCTAAACCAAATTTTTTAAACTGAAGTTAACATCATACCTCAGCGTGAGAAAAATCTAGATCGCCCAAAACCAACTTCCTAAAAATAACAGTATAGCTGAGTAATGGCTCACCAACCTTGCAATCCAGGAATGGCCTGCCCCAGGCAAGTTCTTGCGATGCACTGAGGAAGATTTGGTTATCTCCATGATGAGATGACCTTGAATTAAAAAAAAAAAAAAAAAAAAAAAATTACTGCTGTGTAAGTCTGTTACCATTAGCCTCTAGTTCAGGCAGCTCAACACTATTATTCTGAAGTTCATCTAAAAATAAACTGTGTGGCATTCTTTCAAGGGCGGGCTGCTTCTAAGTAGGGAGCGTGCAAGTGAATGCTTGGGTCAGAGACAGCTGGGGGAACCTCAGATAACAGCAGGAAGCAATGCTGGTGAGCAAGTAAATGCTCTCCTCCTCAGCCTCCGTTGGGAAGGCAATGGTTGTGTTACGGTAACACGCACCGTTCGCCACAGGTCACGCTTCAGCGTGTTGGATTCCGCATTCTCCTTGGCGATGCTTTAGATGAGCAGCCTGCACTGACTAAGATCTGCTCCCTGCATCAGACAAGTCACACACACAGTTGTTTGTGAAAACTGTGAGCAGGGACAGTTTCTACAAAAACATTCCATTAAAGATGTTGTTTCTTGTTTGGTTGGGGCTGGGGGACAGTTAATGCAAAAGACGTGTCCAAATGAGGGTGGGGCACCCGAATTTACCACCTATCCTACAGGAAGTCCAATTTCCAGAGCTGTGGCAATGAATTCAGTAAGTCACTCCAAGTAAAGGCTACTCACTGAGTAAAGGCAACCAAAATCAGGCCAGTGGTTTGCAACCAAATGCACTCATAGGATATTGCTGTGTATTTGACTACTGCCCACTAAGCATTAAGTTACACATTTAATGGATTTTGCTAAACAAATTCTTCCCGGTTATTTCCATCTCTCTGAGTTCTGCTTAAAGAGGCTTCCCAGGAACCGATGAGACTGGATCCCTTTTCCCTCTCCCATATTAGCTTGGCGATTTCTTTGAAGCATTTTCCCCAAATTAGACAAATAATGGTCCCTGACCTGCTGCTGTGCTTGAGCTTTGGTTATGCAGCAGCCCTCAAACCCACGTGCCTATCAGCTCAGTTTAGAAGGCCTGGTGATTATATCATAGGAGGCTTGTTCCCTTTCGGAATGGACACCATAAACCTGACAGCACGATCAGAGCCCACGTTAATCATGTGTGAAAGGTAAGAGGAATATTAGCTTCATTAGTATGTGTTAATTTTGGTCACCTGGGCTGGGAAAAGAAAGGAAAAGAACAGGCCTGATAGCAACTGATGGTGTCACCATCAAACATTAAAGGCAAGATGGAAACACAGATTAGCTCCCAGGTGCTGGAGCACTGGTGCGCTCTGCCATCAGTTTCTGATCATGAAATGGAAAATGTTTTTGTGTTTTGATGTTACTATGCAATCAAACTTCAGATGCAACCAATCCCATTTTGATGAAAACTTTTAGTGGTACTGGTAGTGGGCTTCCTTAATGTTTTGAATCTAACACACAAGGGTGTAAGCGTTGCTTTTGCTTTCAGGTGGAACAAGAAGCATACACTGCGCTCTGCAGCCAGATAATGCATTTTGAGATGATGCTATTGCCTTTTATGAGGTAAAAGGACACTCAGTACTGTGCACAAGGCAAAGCAAAAAAACAAAATCACCTGGCTTGTGTAGGCTTGCCAGTGCGCGATCAGTATATCCTACTCAGTTACACCAAGGTGGGTCACACCATCCCATTACAGGCTACTTCCAGCAATTTGTGAGGAGAAAGAAAAGACATGCTAGTGTCCTACCTGCTTCTTTGGCAGCAATAAGGCACAGAAAAGCATGGTCCAAAAGTTTTTCCATCTTCACAGGCGGTAAGGCAGGGAATATGCCCAGTGCACTGAGCTATAAAGCAGAGGGAAATTCCAGGAAGGACATCTCTCCTGAATTAGCATGCACAGCACTTGGGGAACCACTGGCTTCATGGCTGAAGTACACAAAGCTAAGCAGGAGGTCATCTGAGTCTTGACCCTCACAGCAAAACATACTGGTCTCTCTATACCTCTGTTTCTTCTCCTGTGAAGCACAGGGGATATATTTGCTGACAGACAAGATTAACTAGATTTGAAAGGTGTTCAGAGCCTCTCTACTCACAGTACAAAAATCAACAAAGGCTATGGGTACAGGGATGCTCTGCTGACAGGGCCGTGTATATCCAGCTTGGCAACAGGCAGGATGCTAAAAAGTCAAAGTATGTGGAATAAGATGATCACTACCATAGCAGTGCAGATAGGCCATGTCATTCCCTGTCTCCTCTTATTGCAGGTTATATGTAGATGGACTAATATGGGCTCTTGGAATGAAGTTTGCTATCGATCAAATCAACAATTCCACTTCACTTCTCCCGGGAGTAAAGCTGGGCTATGACATGTATGACACCTGCTTTGAGCCAGTGGTGGCCTTACAGACCAGCTTGTTATTTCTGACCCGAAACGGCACAACGGGCATTGGAGTACTGTGCAACTACACCGACTACCAGCCTCGTGTGACTGCTGTGATTGGGCCGCATAAGTCAGATCTCTGCCTGGTAACAGCCAAACTATTCAGCTTCTTCCTGATCCCACAGGTAAAAAAAAAAAAAAAACAAAAAAAAAAAACTCACTGGAGAAGTAAGATTTATCCTTTTAGGTGTGGGAAGGGTTTGGATCAACACCACCACACTCTAGGTCTTCGAACCAGGACTGTTAATGCACAGATTCCAGTCTTTCATCTGCCACAGACTTCCTGAGTGATTTTGGGTAGGTCATTAAACTTCCCTCCTGGAACACACTCCAGTATCTAAACTTCCCAGAGAGACAAGGGGTAAAACTTGGGCAGCTCCGTGATCTATGTAAAATTGGAATAACAGAGCTCCCAGTGTAAACCAGGAGAATCCCATGAAAATACATCTGTGACTAAGTACTCAGTTACCACAAAAGAGCGAGCTATAACGGTCAGGTAAATTTAGTCCTGAGCTAAGATATTACTGAATCTTGGGTGTGTCGCCCTTTTCAGAAAGTATCTAATTATCACTGTCATTAATGATAAGGGCTGGTGCTGTGATGATGGACACAAATGGCAGTGCAAAGAGATAGCCACGAGGGACAGTGCTACCAGAGCGAAGTGACGGGCCAGTTTATGGTTTTCTTGGTAAACGCAGCCATGATGGACTTATCCCTTTAGATGAGTTCTTCCTTCCCACTATCCTGACCCAGCATTTTTGAAGATTTAGTGCACTGAAACTAAGCAAAGAAGGTGGACAGTGATCTGGATTCTGAACACTTCCCTCAACTTTACTCTTTGCCTCACTTTCTCTCTTCTCTAACTTGCAGATCAGCTATAAAGCCAGC